AGCCATCTTTTGTTCTCATTCTTCTTCGATTTTTCACTTTTGAATCCTGGTTGGATTGTTCGGCCTGGGCCGCATCTTATGAATAATGTACAGTAGACGATTCGATGGATGGCAATAGTGAAAAGCATGAGACAGCGGATGAAAGAATTAATTGAAGATATCTTGTAGCTATTCTAGATTGGACTTTGTAGGTCAATGCTGAGATACAAAGTGGATCCTTAGAACTGAAACGGCCGCTGGCGCTTGGCTAGCGGGAGCTGACGCACGCCGTGTCGTGGCATGTAGCACCCCATAGTGAAAGATCCAATAAGACGGCTGGAGCGCTGTAAGCGAGGAGATCTAGCGCTGGAACCCAATATGACGCGTGAGCTAAGCTGAAGACTTGCGTAGTATCGAGTCAGCCTTATAGTGTAGATATATTGAGTAGCAATAGGGAGTACTCTGAGTATTAGTAGTATTAATATGTGGAATATATCCAATCTCATCTTTAGTAGTGTACACACTATATTTCCACTCTCTGATAAATCCAGAATTCTATTATCATGATGTTATCCTCATCATACTACTACCCCCATGAACAGAGGATATATTATATCCCTCAATACTACCACCATCAAAACGTCTCCACATCCTGCCTGCAAATTCCAATAACGACTTACCATCCGAAGCAACTTCCCATTACTACCCATCCAGTTTACTACTACAGCCCACTTCCAAATCAATATCAATACCAGTACACACATACACGTCCAAACCATCACAGACCACAGCATACCCATCAACAGCACCACAAAAACCAACAAAACCCACCCCCAACGCAGGAACAAACAACACGCGATCTAAAGAATAGACTACACCATCGACGATATCAACATGCGCTTCTCCGGGAGGGACTGAGGAGAAGGTTACATATTCACGATCTGGTGTGTCTTTTGGGTCATAGATACAGGTATAGAGATACTTCGAGTATGGGTGGTGGGGATATAGGTAAGTTCTTTTTTCTTCCTTCTGTGGGAGGGGAGGGGGGTCGATTGGGTTTTATGTTTGTGCTTATAGTTTGGTAGGTGGAAGGGGGTATGAGGAGAGATTGCATTTCTGTCCTTCTCATGTTCATGGTGTTGGTATGGGACAGGGGCTGGGAGTGAAGAGGCGGGGTGCTAGTGAGAGTAGTAGTAGTGGTAGTGAGTGAGAGGATATGCATCAGGGTTCGTTTCTGGATAGGGAATACAAATGTAAACGGAGACGGTTATTATAGATATAATACTCAACCCTTCCATCATCTTGTCCACATCTAGACACTCCCCTCCACGACACATATAGGATCAAATCAATTTGTTGAGGTATACCTATTCTAAATGAATAATAGCCCTATCTGAGCCAGCAGGTTATGTATAAGAAGGAACTGACATCTTGGAAGTAAGAAAAGGGGCGAAGAACGAGAGGATGGAATCAAGTACTTTCAAGTCAACAACACGGAGGATATGCTCAGTACTAGTTTTTGAAGGATATCGTGTATTGAATAACTAGCCCTCAGTAGTCTATTTTTGCTTCTTCGAAGTATGTCCTCCATCTCTATTTTCACCACTCTCATCCCCTACTTCTCGCCCCCGTTTCTGCCCTCCCTCATCATCACCACCATCCCCATCCACCCTCTCATTCGTCTCATCCACCACCCTCCCATCCTTAACCTCATACCCAAACACCTCCTTCCACGACCCACCCATAACCTTCTCATCATCTCCCATAAGATGCACCCCGTACGCCTCCTTCATCTGCGCAATACACGTCTGTCTTCTCTCGTCAAAGTCGAACATTGGCTCTGGGTACGTTCTTAATCCGGTCTCTTCATCCTTCTCGACCATCCCATCCCCAGTTACTCGACACTCCCACCTCTTCTGGTCCTCTACCGGCGCCTTCCACGGCTCATAAATATACTTCTTATCATAATGTTTCAGCTCCGGAACATAGTGTCTCACGAACAGCCCTTCTGGATCCCACTTCTTCCCGAACGCCACCGGCGAATAGCATCTATAAAACTGCGTAAAGAATGCCGTGCAGGACAGCCACATCCAGTTTCCGACATTAGAGGCTGTTTCGTCTGTTGTTCTATTATTAGCATCATCGCTATCAAGATCGGAATGGGAAAAGAGGATGGGAGTCATACGATCAACCAACCACTCCTCAAATACCTCCGCCCCCCTCTCCCAGTGCACATAACATCCCCCCCTCGTCAGAAAACACGCTACACTATGTCGTCCCAAATGATGAATCCACCCCTCATACTTCAGCTGTCTCATTAATGCATCGATCCACGGAAATCCCGTCCGCCCTTCCTTCCACCGTCGGAACCATGCCTCCGCTTGCTCATCATCAATCGTATACGTCCTATCAACTAACCCCGTCTCCTCATCGTGATTAGATTGTAAATGCCACGGAATGAACCGCGCGATCTTGTTCCCGCGTGCTTGCGCATACACGGGTCCCAGAGCTGCTTGCGCAGCGAAGAACATTTCTCGAAAGAGAAGCTGGCCCGGGAGATTAGTAGGGAGATTTGAAGTTGGCTTGTGGGCAGATTCGCGCTCGTGGAGGGTATCCTGCACGTCGTGCCAGAATTTGCGCACGGAGAGGGAGCCGAAATGCAGATGCGGCGAGAGGAGGGTTGTCGCTTGTGGGTGAAAGGCCGCTGGGGATGTCTTGGGTTTTTCGAATGTCGCGACGAAGTCTTCATTTTGTTGGAGGTAGGTGCGTAGCATCTCGAGGGCGATGGATTCGCCGCCGTGGTGGGGGGCTGTTGCTTGGCTGGGATCGATGGAGAGTTCCTCCAGTGTAGGGATAGAGAAGTCGCCGTTGGGACCTGCTAAGTTCTTATATTGATCGTCGTTGTGCTTAGTTCGATGCGCAGCATTTAGGTCGTCTTCCTGATGTGGAACCTCATGCTCAATTCCACTGATAGCCCTCATTTTCTCCTCCCCTAACGGATCAGGTACACTCTCCGGCGCATCAACAGGCCTATCCGGCACCCCATTGTTTATCTGTTCAACAGCCTTCTCGACCTGATGGATACTCATCGTCGGCTCGCCTTTATTGTGCTTCACCACTTCGTCCGAATCAAACAACGTCCGTCCGGACTTCACTATAACCTCTACCCCTGCCTCCTTCGCTAACTTCATAACTGTCTCATCGCGCTCCCGCGCATACCCATCTGTGTCACTTTCGAATACGAGGTGTGTCGCACCCCATGCTTTGAACAATTTGGGGAATACTGTTGGAGGAGCTTCACGTATTACCCACAGCTTCTGCTTCGGGTTCAGCCTGTGGTAGGACTGTGACAGGTCGTTCTGGCATTCTAGCAGGAAGCGCCATCGGTTTGGACCTACGCGGACCCGGTATGCGTAGTGCGGGTCCCAGGTGAAGATTGGGATGAATGTCGATGGGTTGAGGGAGAGCGCGGCTTGCAGGGCGGGGTTGTCGTGTAGGCGCAGGTCGGTGCGGTGCCAGAATATCACGGTGGGTGGAGGGGATTGTTGGGGCATGTTGGGCGGATGTGAGAAGATGGGTTGTGATTGAGAGCCAACGGAATAATTGAATCAATTGGACATGTTTTAAGGTGGATGTGAAGGTGATGTGCAGAATTGAGGGTTGTCGTTGGGAGCTGGAATGTGAGTATGATGTCACCGTATCTGGTCAACTCTGACCCTGTTCTCTCGATGTGCGGGATGCAACCATAATGGACGGGGAACCATAGAATGGTGGCTGATACTAACTACTCGGTAGCGATGCCGAATAAGCGGGTAGATTCATCCGAAATAGATATTTCCAGTTGCTGTCAAGGTCTGAATGTTGGTGATAGTGCCATTCTGCGCATAAAAGGTGCCTGTGATTGCCCCATTGGAGGAGGACACAGTACCTGCAGATGAAGAGTTGCGATCATCTTCGATTCGAGGAACCGCTGCATTGGAAAGGTTACCAGTTGGCGCGCAATAAACTCGGCAACAATTAACTCACTAGGCTCAATAAACCGAAGAATTTCCTTAGCTACAGCACTGGCAGCGGCAGCGGCATACTCATGCCATACATCGTTCTTGTGGGAATCGGCGTAATCGCATATTCCTCGGATGACCAGACACGGGAAATCGTTCATCATGGCTGCTGCTTCCATTTCGAAACAGATGGCTCCACCTTCATCGCTGGCGATCTGGTCTCTGGTTGTTGCGTCTTTTATCACAGAGTCACCGGAAAGGATGAGTCCGTAATGTATGACTGGCTTGGTTGGATCGGAGCGTGGTGGTCTCTGAGTAACCCTGTCTCGACTACATTGATCGCAGGTTGCTGCACCATCAATGTGGTCATATGTCGGCTCGAAGAGAGTATCTAACTCCGGTGACGGGCGAATAAATGCTCGATGAGCAGACCGCGCTTCTAAGGCAGTGATAGAGGAGCTGAGCTGATCTCCGTGAGCGAGATGACTAGTCTTCATCTTCGTAATGGCATGTATCCATTCTTCTGGAGGTGGGGGCAGATAACCAGTGCGCACGAATTTGCCCTTATATCGTTTCCCCAGGTCATACTGCACTACTCCCGGATGCAAAGCAGTTGGGGTGCCAATTACAACATCCCCCAGACGAACATCAACACCTTGAGTAGGTACACCACCCCCGATACCGACCAGAAGGAGACGTGATATGTTGGGAAAGTCTATATGTAGCCGAGCAACGGCAACGGCTGTAGAAACCTTACCCCGATATGTAAAGGGCAGTGTTGCAACCACCACATTGTGGTCGCCGAGCTTTCCCCATACGTATCGCACTGGTCTGGATTGTGTTTGCCGGTGTACTTTGTCTAACAGGTACTGAACTGCACAGATTTCGACCTCAAGTGGGCAGAAGATACCGACTGTGTAGTCTCGTGAGAGAGCCATTGGGCTGATAATGCTCGACGGCAGGCAACAACAACCACGCGATCCTACTGCGAGGATTGCAAATGTTCTCTGCTTGATCAAGTATCATTTCAGCTGAGCAGACAAGGCTCGCAGAACCGGTATCCGGGATCAGCGTCCAGGCGCTAGAAATCGGGCGGTTATTGGCCAGACTAAATGCACTTGCTGAGGGGTAGACATCGACTAGCCTGGCGCTTACAAAACTGCCTCATTATCTCCGCCCGGACATTAGGTGTGCTCACTATTTTCCTCAAGCATCTCGTACCGTTCGGGACTATGGGAGGGGAAGCAATTGTCGGACCGGCCCTTTCAGGCCAGTTCTATGCTGGAACCGGAAAGCAGTACAACTTTGGCAGTGTATCGGGAGAGAAGGTCTATATGGGTACCGGTGAGTACATTCACAGTCTCCCTACCAGGGCAACGGGTTGAAGCCCAGACCAGGAGATGTCCAAATATTTTCGACTTTACATTTCGCAAAAAGTGCTTGCTTCAACTCCCGGGAAAGGGAGCATGACTCATTCTGCCTTGAAGGCACCCGCGTGGATTTGTTGAAGGACATAGCAGAGTGGATTGATGCGGACCATAACGAGGGCATTTTCTGGTTGAGTGGAATGGTAGGCACTGGAAAGACGACGATTGCTCGCACGGTGGCACGAAATTATGATCAGCAGTCACGGCTGGCTGCGAGCTTTTTCTTTACAGATGCAAATGGAGATGCCAGTAGTGCAGACTCCTTCGCATCAACAGTTGCTTGTCAGCTGGCCAACTTCGATACAAGCATGAAAAATGCTATTCAGGATGTGTTGGAACGATGTCCTCTGTTACCCTATCAAGGGTTGTCGGAACAGTGGACACGGCTTGTGAAGGAGCCACTGATGGCATTCACCCAGAAGCACGATAAGAATTCGATGCTTATTGTGGTTGATGGCTTGGATTTGTGCCCGGATAAAAATGATCAACGCTTGACTCTTCGTCTGCTATCTGGCATTACTCGGGCGTGCGAAAACAAGGTGCTTGTCTTTCTGGCGAGTAGACCAGAATCCGCCATTCGGTCGCAGCTTTCCGAAATTCAGCATAGAAGGTTGAAACTACAGAATATTGAGGAAAAGGTTGTTAACTCAGATATAAGCATCTTCTTGGACCACGAAATTGGCAAGCTCGTGGCCCCGTTCGAAGCAGAGCTTGCATGGGACGGAGGAATCGTGGCGACTCTCGTCTACCTTGCTCACGGTCTCTTCCTCTGGGCGGCCACTGCTTGTCTATACGTCCGAGGTGCTAAAAACCACCAGATTATGAGGAAGAGACTGAGAGACATAACGCAAAAAGGCCGGGAAAAAGGAAGTCCAACTGAACAGTTATACCAAATCTATACCAGCGTCTTAGATGGCTCAGTCAACGAAGCATGGAATAAGAAAGAGAAGGAAACCTACTGGAAGTCCATTTCGCGAGTATTATGGACTCACGAACATATTCTTGGTTGTCTGCCAAAAAGGGCCACCGGAAAACTGATACGGGTGGACATTGACTCCATGCTAGAGGACTTGCATTCTATTGTGACGGTTCCAGAGGATGGTGACACACCTATAAACTTCCTCCATACTTCCTTTACCGGGTACTTGGGTCAACTGGGGCACCCAGACCTTCACTTAACACGAAAACAGAGCCATTGTATGCTGGCGGATGCTTGCCTTGACCTCCTGAATGAAGCATGTGGGCAAGATGGTAGCAATTTACGGAATCTTGTTCAGCACGGAGGAGAGCCGAAAACGCAGAATATTCCCCAAGAGCTGGAGTATGCGTGCACCCAATGGGTAGAACATCTCTATTTCGGAGGGGAGCCCATGTCCCGAAACACGAAGGCATTTGTGTTTCTCGAAACACACGGGAAGAGTTGGATCCAACTACTTGCCTTGAGCAACAGGTTAGTGACAGTGAACTCAATGAGAATTCTGCTTCATCAGAGAGTTGTGAGTGATACATTAAGCGGAAATCTTAGCCTTTGAGATCTATAGCTAATCTTGTATAGGAGGATAATCCAGAAGAGGACAAGCGATTCATTCATGATTTACTCTCTACTGAATCTATATCCGAGATATCTGCGCAGTGTCAACGACAAGGATAAATTGAAACACCATACATGTATTGCTTTCAGTACAGTTCTCATTCTGTTTCCGTTTCATTGTATGTGAATAATTGATATTATCAGCCGGAATACAAAGATCACTACACACGCAGAATGACTATCTAGTTCTCTTCAACCTAATCCATAGACGTGCCAATAATAGATACCCGTAGCTTTCCATCCTTCATCGTAGCAATGGCATCTACACCTGGCCTCAAAGTATTCATGATCCCCTCAGTCCGATGAGCAATCATTATCACCGTATGATACTCAAGTTCCTTACACAGAATATCTCCCACAATGGCCTCCGTCTCACGATCCAGAGACGAACTAGCTTCATCGAGAATAATGATCGGTTTCGTCGGCGCAGTCGCCTTCACACGGAGTAGCATGCGACAAAGTGCGAAGAGCTGCATCTGACCAGCGGAGAAGGTGAGTATTGCTGACATGGGAAGATTCAGTATAGTGTCAACATCTGTAGAGGCGGCAGCAATCTTATCCCAAAGGCGAGTTCTCCTCAGTGCTTGTACAATTTCATCACTTGTGCATTTATTATACGGGTCCAGATTGACGCGGATAGCTGCTGTGGGGATGTTGAATCCATCTTGTGGTACGGCGATGATGCCACGCTGTCGAAGGATCTGTAAAGGCACGTGTGCGATGTTGATGTCGTCAATGCTAATGGATCCGTGTTTGGTCTCGAGGAGTCGAAGTAAGGAGAGCATCAGTGTGCTTTTCCCACTACGGTAATCGGTCAGTGTTTGCTCTATGAAGATTTGAGTTGCTGGGTAAACTGTACCTTCCTGTGCGACCCATGACAACGAGCTTCTGTCCCGGATTGACTCGAAATGATAAATTGCGCAGAGCGGGCTCTGATTTCTGGGAGTATGACACAGTGATATTTTCGGTGCGTAGTTCTCCTGCTGATGGCCACTGTGCACCTGGCTCTAGAGCACCTTTAGCGCCATCTTCGCTTGGTACACATTCCTGCACATCCTTGAGTCGAGCAATAGCGCTAAGCGAGGTCTCTAAAGAGGTCCAGTTCTGAACTAATCGCAATAGCGTGGTGTTGGCCCCGATCATCAAATTCAAGGCCATTCCGATATCAGACCCTGTGGAGCTCCGGTACACGACAGTGAGTGTTATCAGACCTACAGCAACAGTAGCCATTATACAGTCCAGTACCACTTTGAGCCAGCACTGCAAGCAGAGAAGCAGGTAGTATGGCTTTTGTGACATGTCCAATGCCTTTATATTTTTGGTGGCGAATTTGTCCTGCCAACCGAAAGTACGGATCGTGGTTACACCACTGGTCTGGATGGAATTAGAAAATATTAGAGAGGGCAATATGGATTAAGTGGGTATCATCGTACTGTATCGAGGAAATTGGTGTTCAGGCGCGACCTTGACTCTAGGTCCAGAAAGCGCAACTGACGAGAGTTGCGAAGATAGACTTTCTGGATGAGGTAGACCAATATGTAACATGGTGGTATCGTGGCAAGCATCACTGGCTGTACATACACAATCAAGGCTACCTGCATTAGTAGCTTGAAGATTTCTGGAACAGACCTAGTTAGGAAAATGTGAGTGAGAGGGTGGACTGGAAGCTTACGGGTGCTTAGATTGGCGAGAGCGGAGGGTAGTTGTTTATCCACTAACGCGATGTCTTGGGAGAACCTGTTTAGAGTGATGCCGATCTGTGTGTCTGCAAAATAGGACAATGGTGCTCTGGATTAAGGTACCCTGCATCAGCAAAGTATTTTGACAAAAGGGAGTTGAAGGCTGACCGGAGTACCCGCTCAAGCAGCTGGGAATGTAACACCGTCCCCGAGCGAATCGCGACTTTCATCTGCGTAAACCTTCCATATGTTAGATGTTAGCAAAGCCAAGTTAGTAAACAGGGTAACCGACCACATAGTTCCACTGGTTGCTGCCCACGCAATGAATGAAATCCCTACATAGAGCCCCATATATCCATTAAGCTCCCCAGACGAAGCCTCTGTTGCCCATCTCAGGACATACTGTGAGAATGTCAAGCAGAATGAATATGTGGCGGTGCAGACTGTCATCAGAAAGGCATTTTGGTAACCAACAGCATTGAAGTAGTACCCTGTGTATGAATTAGCACGCATTGTACAACTTTGGAGAAAAGAACCTACCATAGAGAGCAATATCGCCAGCATTCCGTGATAAGTCTTCGGCAGCGTTATCGATTCGCTGGTTGTGACCTGGCGCCTTTGTGTCATACAGCTCTGAGGGCTGGGTAGTCTGATCGCTTGCAGCGTAGTGAACAAGGCTACCCGGAATTTTTCCCTGCTGAACGGTGCTAGGATCCTGGAGGCGTGCCTCCGAGCCTTGCAGAACCAGTAGTCTATTTGCCATGGGGAAGAGCTTCGCTATGACGCATTAGAAAAGTCTGACCGGCTTTAGAAAAAAGTAAACTAACTGGCGTTGCTAATGAGCAGAACACCTGCGTTCATTTCCCTGAAAAGCCCCCTGGGGCCCAGTAGCCTATCAGAAATCTGCTCTGCGACATTCTCGTCCAGGGCACTGAGCGGGTCATCGAGGATGACCACATCATATCGCGAGTATACCGCGCGTGCAAGAGCCTGCGTCAATTAGCGATTTTACAGGGACAACCCACAATGATAATGAACATACTACGCGCTGACGCTGTCCACCGGATAGGTTCATCCCATTGTTCTCGATAAACGTCGAGTCACCGTTGCGAAAGCTCTCCAAATCAGGGCTCAAGCAGCATGCGTCCAGGACCAGCTTGTACCACTCTTGGTCAAAATTAGAGTGACTAATTATTGCATCCCGAATAGTAACACTAGGTAGCCAAGGAGCCTGGGCACAGTATGCGATCTTCTTCGATGCAAGGCTAATTGATCCGGTTGAGGGTAATTCTCCAAGCAGGGCCATGACTAGCGATGTTTTCCCACTGCCAACAGCTCCAGTACAGACGATTAGCTCCCCTTTAGAAAGCCTGAAGGAGACATCTCGAAGTATTGGTGGATCAGGTGTGGAGGGATGTCTAACGGAGACGTATTCCAGTGATACTAAAGAGAGGCCCTCTTTGCCATCATTATGTCGGGGATCCAAAACCGGTAATCGGCTAATATATGCTTCGATACGTGCAAAGTTTGCGATTATACTAACAGCACGGGGAACTAATGTCATGACCATGTTGGCAGGATGCGTGACCATGGAAAGAAGAGCGATAGACGTGAATACGTCGTTGGCGTGCAGTTCTCCAGTTCCAGATGACAGGGCATAGAAGACCAGAGTCAGTACCGGGGCAAATATACCAAGCGAATTTGCTTTGTTACGTTAGCTGGCAGCTGTTGATATGGATTTAACACATACCGCTGGCATTATAGGCGACGAGTATCCACCTTAAACGTTCCGACAGGCGTAACTCCTTCTCACGTAGTTGCCAGATACGACACTGCGTTACATCTACCATACCCATCATCTTGAGGCTCTTGATGCCTCCAAGTACACTTGTAGTCGTGGAAATGCGCTCTTGCGTCGCAGTATTCCAATTCTTCTGTCGGGGCTCAAAGTGCTTAGCAACGTATGCACTCATCCGCGAACACGCTGTAGTGCATTAGTACGATGAGCGTAGAAATTCGAGGATTCAAGAGTATTATACCGAATATGATAGCCAGTGGAAGAAAAGCAAACCATTGAAGCCGGGCAGTCAGTAGCATTGTGCCGATGACCACCTCCAAGATATAGGCCCACGTATCATGAAAAATCTCCCCCACTGACTCAACACTGTCAACATCGGAGCTCATTAGGGTCACAGCCTCTGATTCAACCTCTTTACCGGGGAGTTTCATTGCTTGATCGTGTACCAAGCCAATCAAGGCACCCCTAACCATGATTCGCAGTCGATCGATGTAACGTTGATATATTGCGGCAGAGACCGCCATCCCTATGTACGTAATTGCGGCAGACGAGATAAGCCAGATGCCACGATCTGTGCCAGTAGCCGTTTCATTCACGAAGCGGATGAGGACGTCCATCACTAAGGGTTGAGCGTAACGAAACACGATGAGGAAAAGACGAGGAATCACGGGCAAAAAGAAAGCAGATTTAAGGCAACGTGCCAAATAAAGAGGAAGAGCCCACCCGGAGGACTCAGCTGATAGATATTAGCACGATAGTGAAATGTAGATGAAAGCTCTCACTTCTTGAAATCCACGCTTCGATTGCTCTCGTACGGAGAGTTCTTGATGATAGCATGTAATGGATTGCAGGTAACTGTGAGGAAGAAAGCGTCGAGATATAGCTTTCCCTCAGCATAATACTCATCCAAGAGAGGGAGGCAAATCTAAAGGGCCCAGCCGCATCCTCTGAGGTTGACACCGGCGACTTTAGATATCCTTCGCATCCCCAGGAACGGATATAGGTGAGAAGCCATATCGCTTTCAAACATGATCTTAACACAATTGCGCCACAGTCAAAGACTGTTTCACATACCATGCCCCTCATCTTATACATATCTTGTGCTAGTGCAACAGCAAGGTATGCAGGTACCAGGTGAGGCGATTGAACTCCTCGGCCATATTCAAGGATGGATATAACCAGAATACCTGCTACTACAGCAACCGAGAGGCTATTGTCCAAAGCGGCTAGACCATTGTGGCGATGCGCGTCTGGCCCAGGCCCAGTCACAGATAGCAAATGAATTATGCAGAGCGCGACTGCGATTACCTGCGATATGGTCCCCCGGGAAGCAGAATCTGGGTTTTTTGGTAGGTTGTAAATGCCACAGACTCTCCGGGCCATCCCAAGTAGGAAAGCCAACGATAGGACAATTGACCCCCATTCGCTGTTAATGGCCTGAGAGAAAATCATGATCATTGCGCTTCAATTACCACCAGGAACTCGAATATGGTGGAGATTCCGGTCAGTGCCACGAATAAAGAAACGTTGGAACCCGTAGAGAGCTGGAAGTGGCGGTATGCTGATAAGGAGACTGATGCACGTGCAGCCACAAGGGGACCGAGCTCCACATGAGGTGTCGCCTGTCGTAGTGCATTGATAATTCAGCCTTATGTCTCAGATAGTATTACACGCTAATCATGCAGCCAAT